AAAGTATCGCCAGCCAGTCAAGGGAGGGGATTGTCCTGGTCTGCTCTGCCCTGGTGCAGCCTCACCTTGAATATTGTGGGCAGTTTTGAGAACCACCATATAAAAAAGACATTAAGCCATTAGAAAGCATCCAAAGGAGGGCTACGAGGATTGTGAAGAGTCTGGAGGGGAAGCCTTATGAGGAGTGGCTGAGGCTGTTCAGCCTGGAGAATAGGAGACTGAGAGGAGACCTCATTGCAGTCTACCACTTCCTCATGAGTGGAAGAGGAGGGGCAGACACTGATCTCTCTGCCGAACAGTGACAGGACCGGAGGATTGTGTCAGGTGAGGCTGAGGTTAGACATTAGGGAAAGGTTCTTCACCCGGAGCGTGATTGGGCACTGGAAGAGGCTCCCCAGGGAAGTGGTCACAGCACCAAGCCTGACAGAGTTCAAGAAGCATTTGGATGACAGTCTGTGGCACATGGCGTGACTCTTGGGGTGTCCTGCACAGTGCCAGGAGTTAGACTTGATGATCCTTGTGGGTCCCTTCCAACTCAGTATATTCTATGATTCTGTAGTTTTCTGAATATAGGAACTCACTGATGAAGACGAGACTTTTTTTTTGCCAAAATACTTTGAAATATTATCCTGTGATTTTTTCTATGAAAAAAAAAACCAGCTTTTAAAAGCTTCTTCAATGTTCCTACTAAGTATGATTGCATTCACACACAGACCTCCTGACTTTTTTTAAATTGATGATTTGAAAATAAAAAAAAATAATGGGATAATTCTCAGATACTCTGTCTGAGAGCAGCAGCACTTCCACCAAGGAAAGGACAGAACAAGAATTTAGACAGTTTTAGAAGATATCAGGTTAGAAGAGGATGGTGTCAAAGTTAATCAGCTGGAAATCAGTGTTTAAGAAATTCTTTCTCCCCTGAATCATCAACAAAGAAGATAAGCTGAAGGCAGACCTAGTTTCAGACAATTTATAGGAATGCTTGAGTACCCTGACCCTCACAATTTTAGCACTGAATTGTAAATTGTATATCCAGCCACTTGAGTGAATATGGGACAGTCTGGGGACATTTTTTGTAGAGTTTAAGCTGCAACATAATTTCTTGAAGGTGAAGGATAAAACTGTGCACTTAGGGTAGACTGTGCTTCACAACAGGCAGTCTGACTTCATCACAAAAAAAGTACTCTGAGAATGGTCCACAAGGTGAGAAAACCAACCAGAACCGGGTGCCATCACCCAGGAGATGTTCCAGACCAGGTTTTACTCTGGATCTTCCCTTGAGCCAGAGGGGAGGTATAAAAATGATTGCATGGAATAACGTGGCTTGGTGGTCACCTGGTGTCCAGCCAAAGTCAGTGCCCCACTGTGTGGCTGGGCCTTGTCCTCACTGAGGATGTGCACTATTCATTCAGCTGCTTGGCAGAAGTATCTTTTGGGGTTCTTTGTACCCATGAAAAGGAAGACAGGAAACTTAAAAATGACCATGGCTGTCAGCTGCTACTGTTTTCTTTTTAACATCAAGAATGCCCTAAATATGAGGGAAGATTCCTGCAGAAGAATGTTCTATGAATGGAGAATATGCAGATAACTTGTTTCTTTGGTGTATACACAAAGCTGTAAGAAATCAGAGGGAATTTCTGAACCATGATCTCATTCTTAGACTGGGAAACCAAGTGTCAGGAGCAACATATTTAAGGAGTTTAAGAACCTATTCTTTAAGTGAATGCTAACAAGAAACCATTTTCATCATGATTAAAATCTTTCTAATAGCATTATTCCATGAGCCAATGTCTTTTTTTTTAAAAAAAGTATAAACTAAAGTTATTAGGATAGAATGTGATCATGAGTAGCTTCCATTAGCATTTGGTAAAGAAGGTTTTATGCCATGCTTGCTTGAGAGCTGAAATGTTATTCCAATAAGTCAACTAGAGAATTTCTGAGGGTAAAAGGCTGAATTGAGCAGTGCATCAAATACAGGGATGTGGAGTCTATCACAAGCCATAGTAGTGGAGTAATCTTGAAAGGACTAAACGGTTAGTCATCAGTCCTGGAGCATTTCATTGTAACCAAATTACAATTCAGCAAATAAATGAAAATAAGATTAATAATAAATATCATGCACTTTTGTTCTAGGAGGAAAACTGTGTAAAATATCAATTAATCTCAGTGCCAGCCCTGACCTGAATCAATGAATATATATATTTTACAGTTTCAGACTTGTGTAACTGTCATTAAAATTAGATAATGTTAGGCTCTGAGAAGGAAACGATTGATTTTTAGCAAGGCCAGATGCTTCACAATGAATAGTCAGTTTGGGGAAGAGTGACTGCAGTGAAAGCTTACAGATTTAGCTCAGAAAGTTTTAAGATTTCAGCCGTTGTGTGCAGAAATAGAGTTTGGGGAGCATTGAAGCAAAGAGTTGTTTCAGTGTATTAACCTTGTAGTTTGGAAGCACAAAATATTTACTGCAAGCATTGCAGAGATGAAAAGAGAGAAGCCTCTCTGTAGGGGCTTCTGCAAACATTTGTGTAATTTAGAAAAGATTACATTATTTTGATCATAAAATTGACAATCTGGAAAATAAATTATGACCTTCAAACCACATGCTAACAAAGACCGCCACAGAAGTTCAAAGGCAAAACCATTGTTGAATTTATAACCAAGTGATTATTTAAAAGCTGGAAAGAAAATGCCTTTATATTTCAATGACCTCACACAAATTGTCTCAGCCAAGACCCATGAAAAATACTCAATGATGGAAGTGCCATTATATGTGCTGAGAATCCTGGAAAATTCTTCTGGCAACAGGATTTATTCATTCATTTACTTCCCAGAAATCAACTTTATACACACTAAATAAACCACCTATTACAAAATTCACTAAAACTTATAAAGTCCTTCCCAATGTGTTTTTGTCCTTCGGATTGATTGAGAGAAAGAATAAATATCTTGGGAGAGGAAAAGAGGAAGAATGCTTTCATATATCCAACTGTACTCAGAATTTATCTTTGTCTCGAAACTGCTCTTTTCAACACAGGAAGGCATTGAATACCACTAACTTAATTGACTGGAAACAAAAATGTATAGAGTTATTTTCTTTATTTTACAAGTCCAGCTAGTTTTAGGGAAGATACTTGATAAAGAAGCCCTAAATTTTCAGATCTAGCCAGACAGAGATTTCTCCACTATGAAAAAGATGACAAATGTCAGAATCACAGAATCATAGAATCAACCGGGTTGGAAAAGACCTCCGAGATCATCAAGTCCAACCCTTGATCCAACACTGCTGTGGTTACTAGACTATGGCACTAAGTGTCACATCCAGTCTCATCTTAAAAACCTCCAGGAACAGAGAATCCACCACTTCCCTGAGCAGCCCATTACGATGTCTGATTACTCTCTCTGTAAAGAATTTCTTCCTAATATCCAACCTAAACCTCCCCTGGCAGAGCCTAAGACCATGGCCTCTTGTCTTACTGATAGCTACCTGGGAGAAGAGGCCAACTCCCACCTGGCTACAGCCTTCTGTCAGGGAGTTGTAGGGAGTGATGAGGTCTCTCCTGAGCCTCCTCTTCTCCAGGATAAACAACCCCAGCTTCCTCAACCTCTCCTCACAGGACTTGTGCTCGAGTCCCTTCACCAGCCTCGTTGCTGTTCTCTGGACCTGCTCCAGCACCTCAATATCCTTCTTGGACTGAGGGGCCCAGAAGTGGACATAGTACTCGAGGTGTGGCCTCACCAGTGCTGAGTACAGGGGAAGAATCACTTCCCTGGTCCTGCTGGCCACACTGTTCCTGATCCAGGCCAGGATGCCATTGGCCCTCTTGACCACCTGGGCACACTGGTGGCTCCTGTTCAGCTTCCTGTCAATCCAGACTCCCAGGTCCCTTTCTACCTGGCTGCTCTCCAGTCACTCCGTCCCCAGCCTGTAGCGCTGCATGGGGTTGTTGTGACCAAAGTAGAGGACCCAGCACTTGGCCTTGTTGGACCTCATCCCATTGGAATCAGGCCATCTCTCCAGCCTGTCCAGGTCCCTCTGCAGAGCCCTCCTGCCTTCCAGCAGATCAACACTCCCCCCCAGCTTGGTGTCATCTGCAAATTTCCCCTCGTCCAGATCATCAGTAAAGATATTAAACAGGACTGGGCCCAACACTGATCCCTGGGGGACACCACTAGTGACCGGCTGCCAACTGGATGCAGCACTGTTCACCACCACTCTCTGGGCCCAGCCCTCCAACCAGTTCCTAATCCAGCACAGGGTGCCCCTGTCCAAGCTGTGGGTATAGAAGGCAGTATAGTCAGGTCTGTGATGTTGTACCCCTTGAGCAGGCATGCTGGGAGGATGGCTTCATGGCTCCTGTGAACCTATATCCCTTTTTGACCTCATCCAAATGGCATAGATTAAACCCACGGGTTCTCTTGATGAATAATGTCAGATTTTATTCTGTTTTTTTGTTGAAGCTGGATTTGCTGTATTTGACCCTAATTTATGAAATACACTACTACAGTGTATGAGAAGAGCACAAACTGACCACCCTGCTTTAATCTGTGAGAGCTCCCAAGCACTGCCACCTTTATATCTGCTTTCTAGCAGGAAATATGGTGGTAGTCATCACTCTGAAATGTTAATTTCTGTCCAGTTGGCCAGACTGGAGTGTTTTAATTGAGTGAAATGATACATTATGGACAATGATCATTATGAATTCAATTCCCTTTCTGGTACATTATTTTCTGAATGCTGAGACTGATTTTCAGAGAATGTTTTTTTGGGGCCATTCCCACAGCTGATCTCAGTCAACAGCTCCTTGAAGTTCATGATGATAAGTACATATATATCAGCTAAGGATCTAGACTTAGGATTTCTTTAGATGTTACATAATACTGTTAACTCATTTTTCACTTGTTACTACATGGAATCAACCTTTTCCAAAGAGATGTTTCTGGAATGTGTTTTGCACTTATTTATATCCCTCTGTTCTGTTTTGTTTTTTTCCCCCTAGGCTTTTGAAGAAGGAAGAAAATTTTATTTTTATCCCTCGTTCCCGTGAAGAGCTTCCAGAAAACTTTCCAAAGGAAATTCCTGGGATCTGTTACTTCCTTGAGGTCAGAAGTGGTCAGAAGCCACCAAAACCCTCCATCACATCTGCCAGAGTGAGAAAGGTTTCTTACAACATTGGCACCATGTTCCTCCGGGAGACTAGCCTATGAGGCCTGCTGCAGATCAAAGACTCGTCAAAAAAGCACAAGCCCAGAACTGGGTCATGACAGGGGAGTTGGAAGTTCTTTGTATGTCTCTGCTTTGTTCTGAACAGGCGGTAAAAGCTCCATGAAATGTCAGGCAATAATCGTTTTAAAAGGTGGGTGACTGCTGTCAGTAAGCAAAGTGGAGATAGGAAAAAAAATATTAAGCAATTTATTTCCACTTCCAGAGGAATTTCTTTCACAAACTTCAGTCTGGCCCCTCTATGGCAAACAAAACGAAACAACACCCCAACTCTCAAATTAGAGGTTGGTTTTGTTTTATGCAGAAAGAATGGTGGTTCTCTGTAGATTTGCACCAGCTAAGCAGAATTGAGAGTCAGTTCTGATTATGCATTCCTACATTTAATGTGTTCTTCAGTAAGGTAATGATGTTTTTTAACTTTATGAACAAGCATTTCATACATGTACTGTAGAGCTGTTGTAACCTTCCTGGCAGGAGGAATTATAATTTAATACAAATATTGTAGGAATTTTACCTATTTTTATACATATTTCACTTTCTGGATAATTGCATTCCACATACTGTAAGCTGAGTGAGCTTAGATAGCTTTTCAGAAGAAGTTGCTGTATATTTCATACATTTTACCTATCAAATGTATTATTATAAAAGTAGGAAGAAGGCATTTCTTGACTTTTTTTGGCAACAAAAATACCAATATTTTACAGGAAAAAGACCCCACTTTGGTAAATCTCTTTACCTGATGTTTATGCTAAAGCTTTAGATGAGCATTGTCTTCTTATATAAAATAATGTTCAGTATTTGTCATACAGTGCTGTATGTCTAGTCTTTCCAGAACAATGCAAACAAAGTGCAGAAGATCAATGTGTGGACAAACAGAAAAGTTCTCTTCAGTGGGGCTTGTTTGCCCTCTAAATTATCAGTCAAACTGAATTTTGGTAGAAGCCCTGAACTTTTTTTAAAAATTTGGTCTTGTGAAAACTTATTCTGAGGAATTCCAGCAGACACTGGAAGCTCTCTGGGTACTAGTTTTCCACATTTTTTATTTGGACTTGTGCTTCTAGTCCAGGTTGATTATTTCAAATCCAATCTGTTAATAATGATTGCTCATATGGAAATTTTCTGTGTTGCTGGATTGGCTTGAAGGTCTCCTGCTTTATCTAATGAAGATCAAAAAAACACCAAAAAGAGGAAGGCAGTACTTTCCCTGGTTAATGCAAATGGCAGTTCAAGATTTAGATTAGTCGAGGTCAATTGAAAAAAAAAAAAGTCCAGTTCTTTGCTGTTGTAAATATAGTATTATTTCCTTCAGTTAATCCAGTTGAAGCAAGATGTGTATCTGTCCCCTAATAGGCACATTTTCAGCATTGCTTATTTCTCAGATTTTCCTTTTCAAAATAATGGCAGACAGTTTTCCTCTGTAGGTGTACTGCCTTTGGGGTTGTACTGACGTGGGCTGATGTTGTTCTGCACTTGCACATTGTTAGTTAAAACTTGTGCAGTGATTCAAAGTGGCTTTGCTTTATGTGAGCCTAATCAAAGCTCACTGTAATCAAATGTAAGACTCAACAGCACTAGGAGGCATGAGAAACTTTGCATTTATCTAAGCCAGACCAGAAGTGAGTTTGCTTATGGATTTAGTAGCCATGATGTGAGACACGTTATGAAAATAAGTAAATAACTTTCACCATATTATCCAGATTATCCAGTTAGATCTTCCTCTTGAACCTGTACAGACTTCAGCCTACCAAAGACATCTGAACTTATATGCAGGAGCGGTTTTTTTTCTTGCCTGAGGAGGGTAGGTGCATTGGAATTAGCCCAGAAACCTACTTAAATGGACATTCACTCACTTTCTAGAGCAACACCGATGTTAGAACATTGATATTAGAGCATATTTGGGATTGGAGGAGTTAATCTTTTATCTGCCTTGTTAAACAGCATCTGCAACTCTATGGCCCATCTGAAAAATGACTTATAAAAACTGTTCAAGCTTGAGGTTGCAGAATTTCCACCCAAACTACAGATCTGAGAATTTTCTGCCCAGGATGACAAGTTTTAGCCTATTAGTTTGCACAGACACAGGATGTAGCCTGCATTTTTTCCCTGGGAACACCAGTGAGACATGCAAGAATCATAAATAGATCAAAGTTCATGTTTCGCCACTGAAAGAGGAACACCATTTCCTAGCTAATAAATCTGTGGTTTTGATATCTATACCTAGTTCCCTAGAGTGAAAATTTTTCAAATAGCTGTCAGTAGACTGAGATTTCATTCTGATTTCGCTGGCACATCCTCATTGTTCAGTAGGTGCTGATGTCAGAGTGCCAATCTTTCTGGCCAAGCTCTTTTTCTCTTCTCACCACTCATAATCCTGTGTGATGAGAACAAACATAGAGGTTTGGACCAAAAGCTTGTGGCTCAACTTGTCTCTGACAGTTGCCAATAGGAAATGCCTTAGGTTAATTCTGTAGCTGATCTTGTATGATGGAAACATTTTCACAGGAAATGGTGGATAAATGCTAATTCTGCTAGCAAATTGGAGAAGCCATCTAAAACAGATTGTATCACCATCCTATCCTCTCAGAGACTCTTTATTGTACAAGGAAATTTATAATCACAGAGATGCATGGTGTCAGCATCACCATGGAGACAATGACAGTGTTTGCAAATAAATCACCTAACTCCCCAAATTGGAGCAGGCTTACTGTATAAGAATATACAGTCTGTGCTTTCTATAAGCTTGTGTAAAGGCAGCATACCTAGGACTTCAGCACTGATGCTAAGTATTATGTTATTGTTTCTGTGTTATGACAAGGGAAGTTAATAAAAAAATTTGGGCTATCTAGGGACACTTTTCTATGTCACTGTGAGAAAAGTGTAAAACAAATTCTTAGCACTTTTTAACTTTGTAGTTGTATCAGCTGCCTTTAATTTTAGGTTGCAAGTTTTTTTTGTTGGACACCTTTATGAAGTTAAATGAAATTTATTATCAAGATTGATGCTGTGATGCCAAAAAGGTGGTAGTCAGACTCAATGTTTCTTCAACAACACTTACTTCTAGTGATAGGGAAAATGTTCTCATTTGCCTGGCATTGTCTTCATAAATAAAAAAGTTCTCAGAATGTTATACCTTGGAATGATGAGGAGGAGAAGTTAGAGGTGCTGAAATGGATGCAGAAATCATAGACTGTAGTTAAAATTTTCTTTCAATATTTTGCTTCCTATAAAACAGATGATCTTTTGTTCCTCTGAGTAAGAATGTACATGCTTCTGTTTCTTCACATAGCTGCAAGTAACCACATCTGCTGTCTTGAGTTTCTGTGTGGAACAAATCCACGCTCTGAAGAGAGAGGGAGGAGATCTACTACATAGAGCCTAAACAGGGCAAAGGAAAGCTGATGTGAGGACCCTATCTGGGCTCATCGGTCTCTTTGCCGCAAACCTGTTCTGTGCAGCTTCCCTCTGCTCCAATCTCAGAGAGACGAGAGACCATGAATTGATCACAGAGGCAGATCCAGTGGCCTTCTTTTTTGTACAAAAATCATGAGGCCCAAGTAAACAGAGTCAACAGTCATTCCCCCAGAGCACTTTTTACAGATCTTGTGTCAGATTTTTCTGTCTGATTGAAGCTCCCCATCACACAGGCTTTTCTGTGATGCAGTGCATAGAGGTCAGGAACTCAGAGCAAGAAGGAAATAGTGATGGAAGTGGTCGAGTGGTGGATAAATTTTGTTCTGCATCACTCTGGTAATATTTGCCATTCAAAGACAAAAGCCTCTGCATGGGAGAATTGCTACTAAGCCAGGACTCTACAAGTGTGGTTTTCTTGCAGGATCCCAAAGGATGTTTCTTTTTTTAATTCCAGAGAGCCAATAGTCATTAACTGTGATTGTGGTTTTGGCTTCACTGCTCATTCCCACAACCAGTTTCAGATCTGAGTCTGTTTAGAAAGGTTTTTTGAAGCCTGGAAGCATGCCTCTGCAAACAGAAAGCCAAAGCTTTTAAAACCTGGGAAATCTTGTATGGGAATTGTCTGTTCTGAAGAAATCCTTGTGGTTGAGTCATTAACAGGTCCTACTGCAGTTCATGTATGCATATACCATTTCACAATGCTATCTCTTCCTGTGCTTATGGTGTTCCCTACCAAGCCTAACAGCAGGATCAGGCGTATTTAACAGCCCTCTTTTGTTTTTTCCTATATAAACCAAGCAGTGCAAAATCATGACATTTGCATGTATTTAGAAGTATCAGCACTGTACTGTGGCTTAAACTCTGATAACCAATTTCACATTGTATATTTCTTGCTCTGAAGAGATCCTTCTCCCCAGCCATTTAAAAATGAAGGGAAAAAATACCAACAAATCTGCTGTGTTGAATTGCAAATGAGTCTGAAACCTGCATCAGTTGTGGGGGCAACTTTAACTGCTGGACAGCTTTCAGATTCTTCAGCTGTCACAAGCTGTCACACTTGCATACTCATGCAGACCATCCTGCCAAGAAATCTGTAATCCAACAGCAGCATTGCAAACTTAGGACATTTTCTGGGTTTTCCTCTTCAGGTCTCAGGCCACTACTTCACCTCTGCTGAGTTCTCAGAGCTCACTGAGAAGAGCTAATTCCCTGTCCTAATGCAGTCTCAGAGCTTCTGGCTTCATTTTTGGGTTCTGGGGATCTCTTCCAAAATTTTACATGTGTAGTATTGGAAATAGCAACATGCTTAAATTAGCAACAAAACAAGAAGCTTAAAAAAGCTTGTCAAACTCAGAAACAGTTGGTTCCCTTCCCTCAAGGTAATACATTATTCATAGCACTGTACTAGGATTGAGGGTGCCAGTGACAGTAGAGGCTGTGGATGAATTGAAGATGCTGAGTGTGCAGGAGATTCAACAGGCACGAGTTAATCGGCTTCTGCTACTGCTCATAATTCCATCATCTTGCATGCTATGTCCTGCTCTTGGTCAGACTTCTGCTATTCAGAAGACCTCCACTTTCCTTCCCTTAATACACTGTATGTGATACAGATAGTGAATAATTTCTATTATTGTTCTTATTAGCATATATTGTTGACATGGCTGCTTATATCCAAAGAATAACTGGGGTTAAGGGGCTGATCTTTCTCTTCCTTGCAGCAAAGACAAAACTGCTACAATGATATGGCAGGCACTCACATCCCTAGAGAGGGAGAAGACTGCAGTGCAAATTGTCACTGGTGGATTTGGGTGAAGTTAGTGCATTAACAGTCCATGGCATGTTCTTAGCATGTTTTATCTGTGCAGATAGAATGTTTTATCTGTGCAGATAGGAGTTACTCCTTAACAACGTTACTAATTTGCAATGCATGAGCAGGCTTACAACAAAAATCTGTAAACTCTTTAACCTCATAAACATGATTGATTTTTTGTGGCTTGGCTGTTAATCACACATGAAACAAAGAAAAACTGTGAAATTGAGGAAGGCAACAATTCAGTCACAGGCAACAGGTCGTTCACCTCTGCACATGCTTACTTGTTCCTGTGGCTTAGAAAGGTTGACCTCCACTATGGCAACGAAATGGCCTATGAAAAACAGCATGAAGCATTTCAGTCTGCTTCCCCCTGGGCTGGGGTTCTCATTAAAGAGGCCAATATAGCATGTGATGCAAAGTGGCAACTTTGCTGGCAGCCTTAGCAAAAGGATCAGTGGAGGCAGATGTTAAACCAGCTGTTTGCTCCAGGGACTTTAGTTTCCAAAGGTAAAGTAAGACAGAACAGGTTTTATTTTGGACAAAAAGATAAGACAGAGTTTCAGAGAAACAAGTGTTTACCAGGGAGGCAGCAGATTTAAAGTGAATCAAGAGTGACACACTGGCTACCTTGACTGCAGCAGTGCCTTCAGCTCTCTGGCCCACTTTGGCATTCCAAGTATCAAGTTTCCTCTGAAGACTGGGGGACAGATAAGTGTTTCAGGGACTTGACCCCTCTGCTCTAGATACAGCATGAGGCTGCCTAAATCCCTGAGTGTGCTTAACTTTCTCAGTGACCACAGATGCAAATCTAGACTAGAAATCTGTTTTTTAAGATGACTGAGTGAGATCGATCCCACTGAATTACATTCTTTTCAGCCCAGGTGCTGTTTCTCAGATCTTCTAGTCTTGCTGCTTTCCAGCATTTTGCATTGGCCAAAATAAATTGAATCAAATTAAGTGTCAGAGGGATAGATAAGCATATTCCAGGATAAATAAATTTTGATATGGTAGCCATGGTGACTCTTAAGAACATGTGCTGCTG